TGGAGCTTACACATCCAGGCAGCACAATGCTAATACATGTACAATGTAGCAGAGTTTACGCAGCAGGCGCAACCATACATGTACAGCTGGACAATGACAGTGTATGTTTATGTATAGTGTATGTATGTGTGTTTGTGTGAGGATTTATCTAAGTGCGTTTTTTTTGTAATTTTTATTTCAGGAAGCCATGCAAGAGGTTTGGGTTGCATGTAAAGAGTGGATACGGGCGGCTGCCAGAACTGAAACTACCAAAAATTCATTTGTTTCTTGCTTACTCTCTCGCGCTTTCTACTAAGTTATGGCATGTAAAGAGTGGATACGGGCGGCTGCCAGAACTGAAACCACCAAAAATTCATTTGTTTCTTGCTTACTCTCTCGCGCTTTCTACTAAGTTATGGCAGGTGCACCAGTCACTATGCAGTCAGCAGTGGAGCTTACACATCCAGGCGGCACAATGCTAATACATGTACAATGTAGCAGAGTTTACGCAGCAGGCGCAACCATACATGTACAGCTGGACAATGACAGTGTATGTATATGTATAGTGTATGTATGTGTGTTTGTGTGAGGATTTATCTAAGTGCGTTTTTTGTAATTTTTATTTCAGGAAGCCATGCAAGAGGTTTGGGTTGCATATAAAGAGTGGATACGGGCGGCTGCCAGAACTGAAACCACCAAAAATTCATTTGTTTCTTGCTTACTCTCTCGCGCTCTCTACTAAGTTATGGCAGTTGCACCAGTCACTATGCAGTCAGCAGTGGAGCTTACACATCCAGGCAGCACAATGCTAATACATGTACAATGTAGCAGAGTTTACGCAGCAGGCGCAACCATACATGTACAGCTGGACAATGACAGTGTATGTATATGTATAGTGTATGTATGTGTGTTTGTGTGAGGATTTATCTAAGTGCGTTTTTTGTAATTTTTATTTCAGGAAGCCATGCAAGAGGTTTGGGTTGCATATAAAGAGTGGATACGGGCGACTGCCAGAACTGAAACCACCAAAAATTCATTTGTTTCTTGCTTACTCTCTCGCGCTTTCTACTAAGTTATGGCATGTAAAGAGTGGATACGGGCGGCTGCCAGAACTGAAACCACCAAAAATTAATTTGTTTCTTGCTTACTCTCTCGCGCTTTCTACTAAGTTATGGCAGGTGCACCAGTCACTATGCAGTCAGCAGTGGAGCTTACACATCCAGGCGGCCCAATGCTAATACATGTACAATGTAGCAGAGTTTACGCAGCAGGCGCAACCATACATGTACAGCTGGACAATGACAGTGTATGTATATGTATAGTGTATGTATGTGTGTTTGTGTGAGGATTTATCTAAGTGCGTTTTTTGTAATTTTTATTTCAGGAAGCCATGCAAGAGGTTTGGGTTGCATATAAAGAGTGGATACGGGCGACTGCCAGAACTGAAACCACCAAAAATTCATTTGTTTCTTGCTTACTCTCTCGCGCTCTCTACTAAGTTATGGCAGTTGCACCAGTCACTATGCAGTCAGCAGTGGAGCTTACAGATCCAGGCAGCACAATGCTAATACATGTACAATGTAGCAGAGTTTACGCAGCAGGCGCAACCATACATGTACAGCTGGACAATGACAGTGTATGTATATGTATAGTGTATGTATGTGTGTTTGAGTGAGGATTTATCTAAGTGCGTTTTTTTGTAATTTTTATTTCAGGAAGCCATACAAGAGGTTTGGGTTGCATGTAAAGAGTGGATACGGGCGGCTGCCAGAACTGAAACTAGCAAAAATTCATTTGTTTCTTGCTTACTCTCTCGCGCTTTCTACTAAGTTATGGCAGGTGCACCAGTCACTATGCAGTCAGCAGTGGAGCTTACACATCCAGGCGGCACAATGCTAATACATGTACAATGTAGCAGAGTTTACGCAGCAGGCGCAACCATACATGTACAGCTGGACAATGACAGTGTATGTATATGTATAGTGTATGTATGTGTGTTTGTGTGAGGATTTATCTAAGTGCGTTTTTTGTAATTTTTATTTCAGGAAGCCATGCAAGAGGTTTGGGTTGCATATAAAGAGTGGATACGGGCGGCTGCCAGAACTAAATCACCAAAAATTCATTTGTTTCAGTTGAACCAGTCACTATGCAGTCAGCAGTTGTGTCGAATCGAGTGCGGCACCCACTCATCCACTGAGTCAGAGCGATTGTTCAGCAAAGCTGGACAGATTATCACGGAACGACGAGCCTTAAAAGCTAAGCATGTGGACATGCTTCTTTTTCTTCATCATAACTCTTGGATCTTGGCAGAAGACTAAAAGCCATACATTTAATTTTAATTATATTTAATATTTTTTTGTTTTGTTATAGTCCTTGAAGGATCTCATTATTGTAAGCATTTGAATTGTTTATTAAAATTTTTATTTTTATTTTTAAATATGCATTTATTTAGTTTGTTTTTTAACCCTTTATATGGCAGTGTTGCATATCTGCAACATACCCTTTAAAAGATATTTTTTCGCAATGCAAATCGAAAAAATCGAATGTGGCTATATGTTGTACATCTGAAACAAACGTATTTTATAAATGATTTGCTTTGGGCACATTTCTAGATGTTTTGTAAAACATATGTTCACTTTCCCGCCAATTTTGTGAGAAGCACATGTTGAGTGCGCTGAAAAAATTGTGTTGCAAAATTTTATTAAAAATATAGATATTTCTTTACGAAAAACTTAAGAAAAACAAAGGTAAATATGTTTCAAATGCATGTGCTATCAAGTTTTCACGTTTCTTGTTGTGTATTGTGTGTAGATTCGAAAAATCGGTATGTTGCAGATATACATCAAACAAGTATTTGAAGTTATATTGTGCAGAATTTATTTTGTTGTATTTATGCAACATAGAGTGTTTGTGTTTATATTATATGTTGTTATGTGTTTATACATATGGTTATATGTTGTTGTTATGTGTCATAGAACTTGTCTTGGGTTTGTTGTATGTGTTTTATGAGACTACATATATAAATAGTACTTCTTACGCAGGAAATATGTCAGGAAAAGGTTTAACACCTTCACAGGTTGAAAATTATTTCAACAGTTTAGATAGCGAGGATGAACTTGACTTTTCTGCTGATGAAGAAAGCGATTTTTATCCAGATGAGAAAGATGCAGGTAGTACGGATGAAGATGACATCGATGACCAAAATCCACCGAGTAATGCCTTAGACGTTTCAAACTCAAATCTCGTAGATGATTCTGAGCCAAATGTTAAAAGTAATAACCCTGATCTGAAAAGAAACTTGCTATGGAGAAAACGCAGTTTAATTTTGAACGAAAATCAACTGCAGTTTCTCGGGAGTACTATGTTGCATCCGGAACTAATGGAACTATCAGAGCCAATACAATTTTTTTGGTATCTTTTTCCAAAAAACCTGTTTGATGAAATTACAATCGAAACAAATCTTTATATTCGCCAAAAAGACCCTAACGCACATGTCAATTTTACGTCCTTAGATATTCGACAGTTTGTTGGAATAATATTATACATGTCAATTTCGCGTCTTCCAAGAATTACTCAATATTGGTCAACAATAATTGGAGTACCAGCGATACAGAATATTATGTCGCAAAAAACATTTGATGAGGAGGCGTCACATTTACTTTAACAACAATGATAATGCTCTGCCTTTGTCACACTCCTGTCACGATCGGCTATTCAAAATCAGGCCAATAATAGATGAACTAAACAAAAATTTTAAAAAAGTTCCTATGGAACAATTTTTGTGTGTTGATGAACTGATATGTTCAACAAAGGCTAAGAACCACATGAAAAGGTACAATCCCAACAATCCATCGATAGTTTGACAGCTCTACTTCATTGGCTAAAAGCCATACATTTAATTTTAATTATATTTAATATTTTTTTGTTTTGTTATAGTCCATGAAGGATCTCATTATTGTAAACATCTGAATTGTTTATTAAAATTTTTATTTTTGTTTTTAAATATGCATTTATTTAGTTTGTTTTTTAGTACTATCGATACTATTGAATAATATATGCAAAACCATCGAAACTATTGAATGTTGCAACCATCGATAGTTTGACAGCTCTACTTCATTGGCTAAAAGCCATACATTTAATTTTAATTATATTTAATATTTTTTTGTTTTGTTATAGTCCATGAAGGATCTCATTATTGTAAACATCTGAATTGTTTATTAAAATTTTTATTTTTGTTTTTAAATATGCATTTATTTAGTTTGTTTTTTAGTACTATCGATACTATTGAATAATATATGCAAAACCATCGAAACTATTGAATGTTGCAACCATCGATAGTTTGACAGCTCTACTTCATTGGCTAAAAGCCATACATTTAAATTTAAATACATTAGTTGCAACCATCGATAGTTTTACAGCTCTACTTCATTGGCTAAAAGCCATACATTTAATTTTAATAATATTTAATATTTTTTTGTTTTGTTATAGTCCATGAAGGATCTCATTATTGTAAACATCTGAATTGTTTATTAAAATTTTTATTTTTATTTTTAAATATGCATTTATTTAGTTTGTTTTTTAACTTGAAAATATTTTCGATAGTACTACCGATACTATTGAATAATTGTTGCAAAACCATCGAAACTATTGAATGTTGCAACCATCGATAGTTTTACAGCTCTACTTCATTGGCTAAAAGCCATACATTTATCTTTAATTATATTTAATATATTTTTGTTTTATTATAGTCCATGAAGGATCTCATTTGACAGCTCTACTTCATTGGCTAACAGCCATACATTTAATTTTAATTATATTTAATATTTTTTTGTTTTGTTATAGTCCATGAAGGATCTCATTATTGTAAACATCTGAATTGTTTATTAAAATTTTTATTTTTATTTTTAAATATGCATTTATTCAGTTTGTTTTTTTAACTTGAAAATATTTTCGATAGTACTATCGATACTATTGAATAATTGTTGCAAAACCATCGAAACTATTGAATGTTGCAACCATGGATAGTTTTTCAGCTCTACTTCAATGGCCGACATACCTTGGGATCTTTTAGCACTAATGGAACCTGTGCCTTTTGGCACAGCGTGGAGCAGAGTTTACGCAGCAAGCACAACCATACATGACAATGTATGTATATGTATAGTGTATGTATGTGTGTTTGTGTGAGGATTTATCTAAGTGCGTTTTTTGTAATTTTTATTTCAGGAAGCCATGCAAGAGGTTTGGGTTGCATATAAAGAGTGGATACGGGCGGCTGCCAGAACTGAAACCACCAAAAATTCATTTGTTTCTTGCTTACTCTCTCGCGCTCTCTACTAAGTTATGGCAGTTGCACCAGTCACTATGCAGTCAGCAGTGGAGCTTACACATCCAGGCAGCACAATGCTAATACATGTACAATGTAGCAGAGTTTACGCAGCAGGCGCAACCATACATGTACAGCTGGACAATGACAGTGTATGTTTATGTATAGTGTATGTATGTGTGTTTGTGTGAGGATTTATCTAAGTGCGTTTTTTTTGTAATTTTTATTTCAGGAAGCCATGCAAGAGGTTTGGGTTGCATGTAAAGAGTGGATACGGGCGGCTGCCAGAACTGAAACTACCAAAAATTCATTTGTTTCTTGCTTACTCTCTCGCGCTTTCTACTAAGTTATGGCATGTAAAGAGTGGATACGGGCGGCTGCCAGAACTGAAACCACCAAAAATTCATTTGTTTCTTGCTTACTCTCTCGCGCTTTCTACTAAGTTATGGCAGGTGCACCAGTCACTATGCAGTCAGCAGTGGAGCTTACACATCCAGGCGGCACAATGCTAATACATGTACAATGTAGCAGAGTTTACGCAGCAGGCGCAACCATACATGTACAGCTGGACAATGACAGTGTATGTATATGTATAGTGTATGTATGTGTGTTTGTGTGAGGATTTATCTAAGTGCGTTTTTTGTAATTTTTATTTCAGGAAGCCATGCAAGAGGTTTGGGTTGCATATAAAGAGTGGATACGGGCGGCTGCCAGAACTGAAACCACCAAAAATTCATTTGTTTCTTGCTTACTCTCTCGCGCTCTCTACTAAGTTATGGCAGTTGCACCAGTCACTATGCAGTCAGCAGTGGAGCTTACACATCCAGGCAGCACAATGCTAATACATGTACAATGTAGCAGAGTTTACGCAGCAGGCGCAACCATACATGTACAGCTGGACAATGACAGTGTATGTATATGTATAGTGTATGTATGTGTGTTTGTGTGAGGATTTATCTAAGTGCGTTTTTTGTAATTTTTATTTCAGGAAGCCATGCAAGAGGTTTGGGTTGCATATAAAGAGTGGATACGGGCGGCTGCCAGAACTAAATCACCAAAAATTCATTTGTTTCAGTTGAACCAGTCACTATGCAGTCACCAGTTGTGTCGAATCGAGTGCGGCACCCACTCATCCACTGAGTCAGAGCGATTGTTCAGCAAAGCTGGACAGATTATCACGGAACGACGAGCCTTAAAAGCTAAGCATGTGGACATGCTTCTTTTTCTTCATCATAACTCTTGGATCTTGGCAGAAGACTAAAAGCCATACATTTAATTTTAATTATATTTAATATTTTTTTGTTTTGTTATAGTCCATGAAGGATCTCATTATTGTAAGCATTTGAATTGTTTATTAAAATTTTTATTTTTATTTTTAAATATGCATTTATTTAGTTTGTTTTTTAACCCTTTATATGGCAGTGTTGCATATCTGCAACATACCCTTTAAAAGATATTTTTTCGCAATGCAAATCGAAAAAATCGAATGTGGCTATATGTTGTACATCTGAAACAAACGTATTTTATAAATGATTTGCTTTGGGCACATTTCTAGATGTTTTGTAAAACATATGTTCACTTTCCCGCCAATTTTGTGAGAAGCACATGTTGAGTGCGCTGAAAAAATTGTGTTGCAAAATTTTATTAAAAATATAGATATTTCTTTACGAAAAACTTAAGAAAAACAAAGGTAAATATGTTTCAAATGCATGTGCTATCAAGTTTTCACGTTTCTTATTGTGTATTGTGTGTAGATTCGAAAAATCGGTATGTTGCAGATATACATCAAACAAGTATTCGAAGTTATATTGTGCAGAATTTATTTTGTTGTATTTATGCAACATAGAGTGTTTGTGTTTATATTATATGTTGTTATGTGTTTATACATATGGTTATATGTTGTTGTTATGTGTCATAGAACTTGTCTTGGGTTTGTTGTATGTGTTTTATGAGACTACATATATAAATAGTACTTCTTACGCAGGAAATATGTCAGGAAAAGGTTTAACACCTTCACAGGTTGAAAATTATTTCAACAGTTTAGATAGCGAGGATGAACTTGACTTTTCTGCTGATGAAGAAAGCGATTTTTATCCAGATGAGAAAGATGCAGGTAGTACGGATGAAGATGACATCGATGACCAAAATCCACCGAGTAATGCCTTAGACGTTTCAAACTCAAATCTCGTAGATGATTCTGAGCCAAATGTTAAAAGTAATAACCCTGATCTGAAAAGAAACTTGCTATGGAGAAAACGCAGTTTAATTTTGAACGAAAATCAACTGCAGTTTCTCGGGAGTACTATGTTGCATCCGGAACTAATGGAACTATCAGAGCCAATACAATTTTTTTGGTATCTTTTTCCAAAAAACCTGTTTGATGAAATTACAATCGAAACAAATCTTTATATTCGCCAAAAAGACCCTAACGCACATGTCAATTTTACGTCCTTAGATATTCGACAGTTTGTTGGAATAATATTATACATGTCAATTTCGCGTCTTCCAAGAATTACTCAATATTGGTCAACAATAATTGGAGTACCAGCGATACAGAATATTATGTCGCAAAAAACATTTGAGATGATGAGGCGTCACATTTACTTTAACAACAATGATAATGCTCTGCCTTTGTCACACTCCTGTCACGATCGGCTATTCAAAATCAGGCCAATAATAGATGAACTAAACAAAAATTTTAAAAAAGTTCCTATGGAACAATTTTTGTGTGTTGATGAACTGATATGTTCAACAAAGGCTAAGAACCACATGAAAAGGTACAATCCCAACAATCCATCGATAGTTTGACAGCTCTACTTCATTGGCTAAAAGCCATACATTTAATTTTAATTATATTTAATATTTTTTTGTTTTGTTATAGTCCATGAAGGATCTCATTATTGTAAACATCTGAATTGTTTATTAAAATTTTTATTTTTGTTTTTAAATATGCATTTATTTAGTTTGTTTTTTAGTACTATCGATACTATTGAATAATATATGCAAAACCATCGAAACTATTGAATGTTGCAACCATCGATAGTTTGACAGCTCTACTTCATTGGCTAAAAGCCATACATTTAATTTTAATTATATTTAATATTTTTTTGTTTTGTTATAGTCCATGAAGGATCTCATTATTGTAAACATCTGCATTGTTTATTAAAATTTTTATTTTTGTTTTTAAATATGCATTTATTTAGTTTGTTTTTTAGTACTATCTATACTATTGAATAATATATGCAAAACCATCGAAACTATTGAATGTTGCAACCATCGATAGTTTGACAGCTCTACTTCATTGGCTAAAAGCCATACATTTAATTTTAATTATATTTAATATTTTTTTGTTTTGTTATAGTCCATGAAGGATCTCATTATTGTAAACATCTGAATTGTTTATTAAATTTTTTATTTTTATTTTTAAATATGCATTTATTTAGTTTGTTTATTAACTTGAAAATATTTTCGATAGTACTATCGATACTATTGAATAATTAATGCAAAACCATCGAAACTATTGAATGTTGCAACCATCGATAGTTTTACAGCTCTACTTCATTGGCTTAAAGCCATACATTTAATTTTAATAATATTTAATATTTTTTTGTTTTGTTATAGTCCATGAAGGATCTCATTATTGTAAACATCTGAATTGTTTATTAAAATTTTTATTTTTATTTTTAAATATGCATTTATTTAGTTTGTTTTTTAACTTGAAAATATTTTCGATAGTACTACCGATACTATTGAATAATTGTTGCAAAACCATCGAAACTATTGAATGTTGCAACCATCGATAGTTTTACAGCTCTACTTCATTGGCTAAAAGCCATACATTTATCTATAATTATATTTAATATATTTTTGTTTTATTATAGTCCATGAAGGATCTCATTTGACAGCTCTACTTCATTGGCTAACAGCCATACATTTAATTTTAATTATATTTAATATTTTTTTGTTTTGTTATAGTCCATGAAGGATCTCATTATTGTAAACATCTGAATTGTTTATTAAAATTTTTATTTTTATTTTTAAATATGCATTTATTTAGTTTGTTTTTTAACTTGAAAATATTTTCGATAGTACTATCGATACTATTGAATAATTGTTGCAAAACCATCGAAACTATTGAATGTTGCAACCATGGATAGTTTTTCAGCTCTACTTCAATGGCCGACATACCTTGGGATCTTTTAGCACTAATGGAACCTGTGCCTTTTGGCACAGCGTGGAGCAGAGTTTACGCAGCAAGCACAACCATACATGACAATGTATGTATATGTATAGTGTATGTATGTGTGTTTGTGTGAGGATTTATCTAAGTGCGTTTTTTTTGTAATTTTTATTTCAGGAAGCCATGCAAGAGGTTTGGGTTGCATGTAAAGAGTGGATACGGGCGGCTGCCAGAACTGAAACTACCAAAAATTCATTTGTTTCTTGCTTACTCTCTCGCGCTTTCTACTAAGTTATGGCATGTAAAGAGTGGATACGGGCGGCTGCCAGAACTGAAACCACCAAAAATTCATTTGTTTCTTGCTTACTCTCTCGCGCTTTCTACTAAGTTATGGCAGGTGCACCAGTCACTATGCAGTCAGCAGTGGAGCTTACACATCCAGGCGGCACAATGCTAATACATGTACAATGTAGCAGAGTTTACGCAGCAGACACAACCATACATGTACAGCTGGACAATGACAGTGTATGTTTATGTATAGTGTATATATGTGTGTTTGTGTGAGGATTTATCTAAGTGCGTTTTTTTGTAATTTTTATTTCAGGAAGCCATGCAAGAGGTTTGGGTTGCATGTAAAGAGTGGATACGGGCGGCTGCCAGAACTGAAACTACCAAAAATTCATTTATTTCTTGCTTACTCTCTCGCGCTTTCTACTAAGTTATGGCATGTAAAGAGTGGATACGGGCGGCTGCCAGAACTGAAACCACCAAAAATTCATTTGTTTCTTGCTTACTCTCTCGCGCTTTCTACTAAGTTATGGCAGGTGCACCAGTCACTATGCAGTCAGCAGTGGAGCTTACACATCCAGGCGGCACAATGCTAATACATGTACAATGTAGCAGAGTTTACGCAGCAGGCACAACCATAAATGTACAGCTGGACAATGACAGTGTATGTATATGTATAGTGTATGTATGTGTGTTTGTGTGAGGATTTATCTAAGTGCGTTTTTTTTGTAATTTTTATTTCAGGAAGCCATGCAAGAGGTTTGGGTTGCATGTAAAGAGTGGATACGGGCGGCTGCCAGAACTGAAACTACCAAAAATTCATTTATTTCTTGCTTACTCTCTCGCGCTTTCTACTAAGTTATGGCAGGTGCACCAGTCACTATGCAGTCAGCAGTGGAGCTTACTCATCCAGGCGGCGCAATGCTAATACATGTACAATGTAGCAGAGTTTACGCAGCAGGCGCAACCATACATGTACAGCTGGACAATGACAGTGTATGTATATGTATAGTGTATGTATGTGTGTTTGTGTGAGGATTTATCTAAGTGCGTTTTTTGTAATTTTTATTTCAGGAAGCCATGCAAGAGGTTTGGGTTGCATATAAAGAGTGGATACGGGCGGCTGCCAGAACTGAAACCACCAAAAATTCATTTGTTTCTTGTTTACTCTCTCGCGCTCTCTACTAAGTTATGGCAGTTGCACCAGTCACTATGCAGTCAGCAGTGGAGCTTACGCATCCAGGCAGCACAATGCTAATACATGTACAATGTAGCAGAGTTTACGCAGCAGGCGCAACCATACATGTACAGCTGGACAATGACAGTGTATGTATATGTATAGTGTATGTATGTGTGTTTGTGTGAAGATTTATCTAAGTGCGTTTTTTTGTAATTTTTATTTCAGGAAGCCATGCAAGAGGTTTGGGTTGCATGTAAAGAGTGGATATGGGCGGCTGCCAGAACTGAAACCACCAAAAATTCATTTGTTTGTTGCTTACTCTCTCGCGCTTTCTACTAAGTTATGGCAGGTGCACCAGTCACTTTGCAGTCAGCAGTCGAGCTTACTCATCCAGGCGGCGCAATGCTAATACATGTACAATGTAGCAGAGTTTACGCAGCAGGCGCAACCATACATGTACAGCTGGACAATGACAGTGTATGTATATGTATAGTGTATGTATGTGTGTTTGTGTGAGGATTTATCTAAGTGCGTTTTTTGTAATTTTTATTTCAGGAAGCCATGCAAGAGGTTTGGGTTGCATATAAAGAGTGGATACGGGCGGCTGCCAGAACTGAA